GAACATCTGAGCAACGACGAAGTTTTAAAGGAAATGAAACAAGAAATACTTAACATCGTGAAGAGACAATTGAAATTTGAATTCACACTCCAAGTAGAACCCATCAAGGCATCAACTTCAATTACCTTCCAATACCTCTTTCACCGAAGCTTATATCAAATATCTACAAGAATGAAAATATGTGAGTTTTTTTTGTTTTTTTTTTTTGTAACAGAGGGCAGAAAGTTCGGCACTGAAATCCGAAGGCACGTTGGGACAGCGAAAAATGCCTTCCAGAAATTAAGCAAAGTATTAAGAAAAATACCGTTAGAAACAAAAAAAAAGAGTACTAGAATATTATATAATATCAATCCTCAGAGATGAAAAAGAGACTTGAAGCAACAGAAAAGTGATTTTACAGAAGGATGCTGAGAATACCATGTATCGAACAGGTGAGCAACGATAAAATTTAAGAGAAAATCGAAACAAAAGGGCACATACTTAACATTGGAAATAGCTGAGATTTCTAGCGCCCGCAATGAGGAAAGTGGGCTGGGAAACATTTATACTCACAGGACAAATTAAAGGACTGATGGATGGAGAAAATGTCGTATGTAACCTATGTAGCGTCCGGTCATTCATTTTTGGCTACCTGCAGGTGGTGTAATGGTTACCAATCTTGTCTCGTTAGAAAAATTACGACTGAGTAGTGAGTTCGATCCTCATTGGGTGCCCTCTACTTTTGGCATTGCGCCACATCTAAGCTACACTTGGAAAATCATAATAACCTATGTAGCGAGTTTTAGTAAAGGATGGCCGAGTAATGTTTAGGAGAGATACCAAAAAGGAAAACTTTTTTGAAAGCAGCAAAGAACAGGAAATTGTGGAGAGCCATGATTGCCAACGTCCTGAGTTGACCCTAGACAAAGAACAAGAAGGAAAGTGGGCGTTGATAAAATAACAGCAGGAACAGAGATTTGTACTTTCTAGGTGACATAATTTTCAATTCTGTGACGTCATCCGTTTCATGGAATAAACGTCAATTTCAAGGAGACGGAATCCATGGTTGTTAGCAAAAAGGAACAACACAACATTAAAATTACAAATTGGAGATAACAAAATCAAACATGTACAATATCTCGTAAGTGTTTTAACAAATGACGTAAAGTACAAGACTGAAATCTAAAGGCTTATTGGGATAACAAAAGATGCCTTCCAAAAGCTAAGCAATGTATCAAGAAACAGAAAAAATATTCCTGTTTTTAATTATTTATTTTCTTGATCCAGAACTTGGAACAGAACGCACGCCTGCGAATAAAAAATGAAAATAAATTCAGTATATATACAAAAATAGAAATAAGTGTTTTCTCAACGGATTTATTCAAATTATACAGTTAGGTGATTCTATGAAAATTAGAAGTCCTACCAGGATTCATTACTGTCGGCCACAATCTTAACAACATAAGATATAAATATAACACTGTACTGATAGCAGACATAGAAAAGAAACTAGAGGAACTCCTACAGAAGGTAGTGAAGGAAAGCAGGAAGAAAGGACTAAACACCAATAGCAAAAGAAGAGAATGCATGGTTGTTAGTAAAAAGGAACACATCAAAATGCAAATATACAAAAATAGAAAGAAGTGTTTTTTAAACGGATTTATTCAACTTATACAGTTAGGTGATTTGTGAAAATTACAAGTCCTACCAGGATTCATTATTGATGGCCACAATCTTAAAAACATGGAGATATGTAGATGAAAAAGTGTTGATAGCTGTCATAGACAACAAGCTACAAACTCTTACAGGAGGTAGTGAAAGAAAACGAAGAGAAAGGATTAAACATCAACTGCAAAAAGACACAACGCATGATTGTTAGCAAAAAGGGCAACCCAACATGAAAAATTACAAATTGGGGATACCAAAATCAAACAAGTACAATCTTTTAAATATCTAGGAAGTGTTTTAAAAGAGGACATAAAGTGTGACACTGAAATCCGAGGGCGCATTAGCATAGCCAAAGATACCTTCCAAATTCCAAGCAGTGTATGAAGAGACAAAATAATTCGTTAGAAACAAAGAAAAAAAATACTGAAAGTTTACGTAATATCAGTCCTGCTATATGGCAGTGAATGCTGGACAATATCTCTTCAAAGATGAAGAAGAGACTTGAAGCAAGAGAAACAAAGAAAAGACTACTGAACTGTTATGTAATATCAGTCCTGCTATATGGCAGTGAATGCTGGACAAACTCTTCAAAGATGAAGAAGAGACTTGAAGCAACAGAAACATGGCTCTACAGAAAAATCCTGAGGATACCATGGACCTCACATGGGAGCAAGGAAGAAGTGCCAAGCCATGATCGCCTTACATACTGAAGAGACAGGGCATATAAAAGAAAAGAAGAAAAGCATTTGACAAAGTATGTCACAAAGAACTGTTAGAACTGCTAAGTAACCTTTGACATATTTTGGAAGAATATTAGAATAACCCAGAACTTAAACTGAGATCAGAACACCTGCATATGGATAGAAAATGAATTCAGTAAATATACAAAAATAGAAAGAGGTGTCTTCTCAATGGATTTATTCAACTTATACAGTTAGGTGATTCTGAGAAAATTACAAGTCCTACCAGGATTCATTACTGTCAGCCTCAATCTTAACAACATAAGATATACAGATGGCACAGTACTGATAGCAGATATAAAAAGGAAACTGCAGGGACTCTTACAGAAGGTAGTGAAGGAAAGCAAGAAGAAAGGACTAGACTAAACACCAACTGTAAAAGGAGAGAATGCATGGTTGTTAGCAAAAAGGACAGCCCAACATGCAAATTACAAATTGGGAATACCAAAATCAAAAATGTACAACAATTTAAATGTCTGGGAAGTGTTTTAACAGAGGATAGAAAGTGCAATACTGAAATCTGGAGGCACATTGGGATAGTGAAAGATGTCTTCCAAAAGCTAAGCAAAATATTAAGAAATAAGAAAATTTTGTTCAAAACAAATAAAAGAGTACTGAACTGTTATGGAATATCAGTCATCCGATATGGCAGTGAAGGCTGAACAATCTCCATGCAGTCGAAGAACAGACTTGATGCAACAGAAATATGGTTCTACAGAAGGATGCTGAGAATACCATGGACTGAACATGTCAGTGATGATGAAGTTTTAGTTAAATGGAAAAAAAGGACACTTATACTTAACATCAAGAAGAAATAGTTGAAATTTCTAGGTTCATTACTGTCAGCCTCAATCTTAACAACATAAGATATACAGATGACACAGTAATGATAGCAGACATAGAAATGAAACTAGCGGAACTCCTACAGAAGGTAGGGAAAGGAAAGCAAGAAGAAAGGACTAAATGCTGATAGAAAAAGGAGAGAATGCATGGTTGTTAGCAAAAGGGGCAGCCCAACATGCAAATTACAAATTGGGGATACCAAAATCAAAAATTTACAACCATTTAAATGTCTGGGAAGTATTTTAACAGAGGAGGGAAAGTGCGACACTGAAATCCGAAGACACTTGGGATATTGGAAGATGCCTTCTAAAAGCTAAGCAAAATATTTGGTTAGAAATAAAATAAACAGTAATGAATATTGTGTAATATCAGTCCCCCTATATGTCAGTGGTGACAGAACAATCTCCTCACATATGAAGAAGAGACATGAAGCAACCGAAATGCCGTTCTACAGAAGAGATTACCATGGACAAAATATGTGAGTAATGTCAAGGTTATTAATAAATTATTTAATTTAAGTGATAGGTAACCTTGGCATATTTGGCATGGATATTAGAATGGTCTAGTATCTATACTGACAGAAACGGCATGTATATGAATAGAAAATTTAGTAAATATACAAGTGGGTGTAAGACAAGAATGGGTCTTCTCACCAGATTTATTCAACCTATGCAGTGAGGTGATTCTAAGATAATTAGACGTCTTACTAGGATACATTATTGAACATTAACAACATAATATATGCAGATAACACAGTGTTGATAGCAGACATAGAAAGGAGACCACATGAACTCCTACAGAAGGTAGTGAAGGAAAGCAAGAAGAATGGACTGATCATCAAATGCAAGAAAGAGAATGTATGATTGTTAGCAAAATGTACAGCTCAACATGCAACTTAAAACATATGAGTTAAGCAGTCACCCACCTAAGTACTGACCAGGCTCGATTTTGCTTAACTTAAATTTTACGGAAATCAATATTTCAACGGAATATGGCCGTTAGCCCTACCAGCCGCACATCCAAGCGTACAACACCCCGTATTCCCAAGCAGTCACCCATAAAAATATTGACGAGGCTCGATGTTGCTTAACTTCATTGATCATACGGAAAGCAACGTCCAGCTTACAGAAACTGGTATTCCCATCTAGACACTAAACGGTCTCGATGTTGCTTAATTTCATTGATGGAACGGAAATCAAAATTTCAACTCGATATGGCCGGGACCCCTACCAGCCGAACATCCAAGCTTACGGCACCTGGTATTACCAAGCCGTCACCAATCAAGTTACTGACCAGGCTCGATGTTGCTTAACTTCGCTGATCATACGGAAATCAATGTTGCGACAGGAGGCGGCCGTGAGTTCTACCAGGCGAACATCCTAGCTTACAGCGACTGGTATTCCTAAGTGGTCACCCATCTAGATACTGACCAGATTAGATGTTGCTTAACTTCATTGATAGTACGGAGATCAATATTTCAACGTGATATGGTCGTGACCCCTACCAACCGTATAGCTAAACTTATAGCGCCTGGTATTCCAAAGCAGTCACCCATCAAGGTACTAATGAGACTCAATGTTGCTTAACTTCGCTGATCATACAGAAATCAATATTTCAACTTGAGATGTTCGTGACCCCTACCAGCTTATAGCACCTGGTATTCTAAAGCAGTCACCCATCAAGGTAAAGACCAGGCTCGACGTAGCTTAACTTCGCTGATCGTACAGAAATCAATATTTCAACTTGAGATGTTCGTGACCCCTACCAGCT